GTTCTCAAAGAGCTTAGACTTTCTCCTGTGGATTTCTGCTTCTCTTTTGAAGTGCTCATTTCTTCCTCTCACTGGATTGCACATAGCACAGCAGGATGGGCTCAAGACAAATGAGATCGCTGTACTCCACACATGTGATTCTAGCAAATACTTTCAGCCCATTAAAAAGCAAGTTGATATAATGGTGAGATGTTTGCATAGGAGACTGTTTCTACCTTTTAGGGACATTTAAGGAAGATATGTCACATCTGTAATTGACTGTCTTTTTAAAACTCAGCAAGAATAAGTTGATAAAACAATTTCAATATATATTTGTTAAATCCCCATCAGTACGTGTCTTTTTATCCCTCCGGATGAGAGTGTTTTCATACTGAAGAGTTAGCAAAGCTTGTAGTCAAGTCAAAAAGTAAGTAATGACTACAGGAGGGGCTAAAGGGAGTGAATACAGAAGAATAATCACTGTTGTACCTCCCCTCTATTCTTATTAACATAAAAACAGAGGAGTTTACCAAATGAGCTGTGTTAAACATTAGTTTCGCTATTTATGGATGAGGGAACTAAGATTGGAGAAGTGCAATGAGTCAAGGGGGCATACCCTTAGCCTCACAGTGTGTGCTCCTTGCTTTTGGACAGCTGTGTGGAGGTAACTGGTTTGGAGATACTCAGGCCAGGGTGTAAGAGAAGGCACTGAGAGAATAATAAACTAAGTGGATTTCTGCTTCTCTTTCCACGTGCTCATTTCCCGCTCTCACTGGATTGCCTCCAGTGAGAGGCAAACAGCAGTTTCCCAAGATGCCTGAGTATTTCAGCAAAGTGATTGGAGAAGGAAAAGTATGGGCCCATTATATGGCCCCTTTAGTGTGTCCAGTGTATAGGAGAATAATCAAAATGACTACAGGAATTTCCAGAAATAAGAGTGCAATTGGCATATTTGGGTAGAAGATGTAGGTAGGAGTGGGAAGGACATGTTTTAGTCTGCATTTTCTGCCTCATCAGTAAGGGATACCATGCCACCCATCCCACTGAACTGTAGGGTCAGTGAAGGGAGAGATTCCTTACAACTGCTCTATAGTATCTAAGATTATGTGGACAACAGAAAAACACAGCTTCCAGTGAATTCCTTAGCCAGGCCTGGTGGTGCATGCCTGTAATCCTAGCAGTTAGGAAGCTGAAGGAAGAGGATGGCCATGAGTTCGAGGCCAGCCTAGACTACATAGTGAGTTCAAAGCCAGCCTGAGCTACAGAGTAAGACTCTGTCTCAAGAAGAAAGAAACAAACAAAAAAAGAAAAACAGATAAAAAAGTTAAACGAGTTTTCCTTAACCTTTCTAAAATACATGCTGTAATTCTTAATAATCACTTTTTTTGCATCCAGGGTACTGACCTAGGTTCAGCCTTTTAATTTCAAAGTAGAATTCATTTTAAAAGACTTTTCCTTGTTACAAAAAGGAATACCTACCTAAGAAAATTTGATCAATTGTGTGCTCTGCTGGACTTCTGCTAGAAGGATTATCACAGCAAGCTAATGGTCTGAATGGGCCCAAGCAAATCATCATTTCTATAAAAGTGAAATTAGCTTATTTCATCTAATTTTCAAATATGACTATTTTTAAATGAAGGAAAAGAAGTCTAAATAGCCCTACTAATCCAAGGAACCATCCCATAGAGGATGAAATGAGACCTCTGTGAGGTTTGGGGGTCCTTGCCAAAGCTTGCTTTTATGTGTCGCTTCTGCTCTCATTAAAACAAGTTCCAAGGACCAATGGAACCAGGATCCACGCCAAAGGCAAGGACACAAGTTGTTTTCTGCACTTCTGCCAGCCTCCGGCTCACCACCAGGCTGGTTGCAGGCTCACAGGTCTCAAGAACAATAATCCTATTTTCACAAGTCACAGTCTCCATCAGGAGCCACCAGGGAGCAGCAGATGCCTAAGCCACTCACCTGGCTGCTGCCACTGAGATAGTTGCTAAGAATGAATGGGGATGCTAATTATAGGAAAGGGAAGAAGGAAGAGAAATAATAACAATATTTGCATCCATGTGGCTTTATGCTCTTATCTCTCAGTGAGGAGGGCATGCCTCTTTGGTTCCCTGCCTCAGAATAGCAGTCCAAGACCCAGGAAAGGTAAGATAGGAATTTGTTCCAGATCATAGAGCTTATTCAGAACAATGGTTTGGAAGAGCAGTGGCCTGGTTTGAAACCTAACTTTACTGTTTATAAGCCATGTGACCTTACATACATTATATCAACCTCTCCGTGACCCATTTCTTCATCTCTAAAATGGAGCTCAGGGTAATATCCTTCTCAAGGTAGTTGTGGGGATCAGATGAAAGAGTGCATGTCAAAAACGAAGAATAATTTTGGCATGCAGTACTCAATAATACTATTATTTCACTGGTAAAATGTTTTAGGGTTCACACAAGCATAGCCAATTCTACTACCAGGTACAATAAAAAATACAGCAAATATTTAATTTTTTAAAAATTATTGCAACAAAAGACACATTACCATTAATCCCTCTCAGAATGCTCCTCCTTGCTTCCAACATACTTATCCCATAATTCTGGCCACTTTCTGAAGCAGTTCTGGAAGTCCTCGTTCATGAGGGTCTTTACAAGATGTGGTCAAAAACACGGTGAATGCTGCTGAGTATCATCCAACAAAAAGGCAGCCTCGCAGGAATATTACAAAGTTTCCGTATCCACCTTATTCACCAAATATGGCACCCTGTTACTTCTTGCTCATCCCCAAAGTCAAAATGATCATGAAAAGGAAACATTTTTAATCAACACAGGACATTGAGGCTGCCGTGATGGGACAACTAAAGACACTCAGGAAAGAGTACTTCCAGAACTGCTTCAGAAAGAGGCAAGAATGATGGGATAAATGTGTTCAAATCAAAGGGGAGTCTTTAAGGAGGATGAATGGCAATGTCTCTTTCACTTTAAAAAATTTTTGAATCTTAGCATTCACCATATTTTTGATGATACCTCATACACTTATTAAATACCAGAAGGCAATGTGCTAAATTTCAGATGTGCTAGAATAAATCACTTATGATCTCACCCACACCTCAGGTCACAGAAAGATGTCAGGGATATGCAGATATAAACTGAGCATGTGAGGTTTTAAGCAAGAAAAAAAAAATTTAAAGAGACAAAGTAGCCCAGCTTGGGAGTGGTTGGGCAGACTTCCTGTGGGAAAATAGCTTCAACTTTACCCTTGCAAAAATTCTTCTAGGGATAGATGTTAATTGATTCATTTTACAAATGAGTGAAACAAACCTCAGAAAAGTTACAGGATTTCCCAAGGTTCCTCAACTACTGAGAGGCAAAGTCAGATCTCAATCATTCTAACCTACTTCAAGACATTTCCTATGAATTAAATTATTGAGCAAAACTGGGTTTTCCCCGTCTACTTTCTTTCTTGTTCAAAAAGGGAAAAATCTGAAATTTTTTTTCTGCATCTCCACTTTTCTCTCTGTAAAATTAGCAAAGTGCCAAATTCTCTAAAAATCTACCATCTGCTGGGAGTCACAGAGGCAGAAAGGGAAAAGTGTTTACTGTAAGGACCTTGGGGGAAGGAGCAGGAACATAGCATTGTTGAATTCTCATTCAACCACTAAGATGGTCTTTGGCAATTAAGAAACTTAATCACATAGATTCTCATCTTTTTCTGTTTATGAAATGGAGCGATAGTTTCTGCCTCCTAGACATGCTGTGACAATTTCCTGTCATAGCCTTAGTGCAGTATAGGTTATCAGCACTCAGTGACGTTCTCTGTTAACTTTGGCTAGAAAACCACCTCCTAATCCACACTTCATTCCTCTGGTCTGGCCATACCAGTCATCTACCTGCAAGTACTGTATATATGTTCTCTTGTGAAGTACTCAATGCTTGGCCAATGTCACAATCTGGAAATCTGACTCTCCTGTCATTGTTCTTGCTCTCTTTAAAAATTGTAACATTCTGCTCTCAGGGAAAACAAACAGCTATAGAGTGAAATGGTTTGTTTATAGATTTTTAGGGGAAAGCTCATGAGCATCTCAAATTTCTCTTCCTCAAAACTGTCTAACTCCAGGAATTTCACTTTTGTCCTTAAGAAGTTTTTGTTTCTCCATCTTTCTTCCAGTACCAGAAAGGAGTCCTTCACATCCTCAGGTTGCTATGGTGATAAGTATAGGTGCCTGGACCCAACACTGTGTGAGCTGTGCTCGCTATTTGCGAAGCACTTCATCTGCTTACCTTGCTGATCCTAAAAACAACTGGGTGAGGCTGGGAGGGCAGATACAATCCCCACCCTAAGGATGAGGAAACCACAGCAAAAAGAAGGAATAACAATGACCACCACTGCTAAGCATGACTGTGGCCCAGGTCTTCTATATTACTTTGAACTTCTTAGGAGCACCCCCTCGTAGGTGTTACTAATTCAGTTTGCAAGTGCACAAAATGGGACTCAGAGAAATACCACGTGCTCAGGCTCCTCCAGATAATGAATAAGGGTGCTGAGACTCAAGCTTAACCTTATCTTACTACAAAGTCATGAAGTTCAATAACTGGTTTATCAAAGATTGTTGAACCCATTAGTGACTAATATGATAGCAAAATCTGAGAATGCTGATTCATAATCCAGGGTGCCTTTCATTAAACCTTTCACTCAGCCCTTCTTGATGGTTCAAGGTGCTAAAGCTACACTCACTGATGACTAAGAAAATCGCTACTCACACAGAGTCGCTACTCCTCCTATCTGGAAGGTTCTAGAAGGTTCCTCAACATTTTAGATTTGCATGTGGAGAACACTAAAGGAGAAAATATAGTGAAAGTTTCTCGCTTTTCCTTGGGTGTCCAATCCATGTGGCCAAGGTACATTCTCACATCTGAGTTCCAAGGCAAGATCTTGAGCTGTGTGGTGCATTTCAACTATGTTCACCCTCTCCTGGGAAGAATGAGCTTAGGTTTCTATTTAAGGTTCTCCCTCTCTCTCATTTTCTGTTTTAAAAGGAGATGATGGTGAAAGAGGAGATCCAGGAGAAGAGGGAAAAGGTGGCAAAGTGGGACGCAGGGGGCCGAAAGGTAGGTAAACCAATGTGAAACTGATACCCTTGGAGATGTTCCTGTCTCTCTCCTCGCCCTTGCCCTGGAGATTAGCAGTTCATGATGCCCTCTGCCCCTGAGACATATGAAATATACTTCTGATGTGAATTCACACCCACCTGAGAGCTCCCACTAACTTGCCTAGCAGCAAAGCAGGGACATATTTCTCAAGTTACATTCTTAGGACTGGCCAGAGGGGGCGCTCTGGAGCCCCAGAGAGTTCAAGTCTAGAACTATCTAAGAAATGATGAGTTTTGAAAACAGCTGTTCTCTCCTTAGAAGCTGTAGTTAAGCAACTTTCTTTGGCCTAGGGCTTAAAGTGAAGGGTAAAAAGGAACAGAAATAGCTTCCTGAGCCATTGCTGAAGTCACCTTCCCACGGTATATCTCTGCCTCTCTATCTCCTCTCATAAAAATGGATAACACAGTGGGACAAATGGAGGGATACAAGGAGTAGGAGCAGAGATGAGAATAGCATGCTAGCTAATGGGGGACTTTTCTCTAATAAAGCCCAGGGTAAGGCTCGTTAAAACATAGCTTCTGGTGTAATTCTGCGTCTTCTGAACACTTGAATTGTTCCCAGCCAATTGCTACAAGATAGCTGCCCTAGACCCCTCAGTTTAAAATATTGAGTAGTTCAAAGAGAATGAAAGACTCACTGGCCCTTGAGGCCTCAGTTTGAGAAACACTGGTTTACACTTCTCATATTCTAAAAAGATGTATGTTTCTTGCAAAATTATTCTCACATAAATAAAGCTTTACAACTGGTAAATATTTTTCTATTATCATATTTAATAAATAAATAAATACTAATTTTAGAAGAATTCATTTGTCCTTGATCGTAAGTTTTGGGATGAAAAGCTCAAGACAATGTCGGATGTCTCTTTGATCACTAGGTCTTACGATTACACGTACCTTCCCTCTTTTGAAGTGGTTAAGATTATCAAATCTTGTTTTAAAAGACAGAAGAGACAGGGAAACAGAATCCCAAAGCAAAGCCAGAATGTTTTCCTAAATAGAGTACAAGAATCCTTCTACTCTGTCTCTTCAATTTTAAATTAAACATACTCAGCTGTGGTCATTCTAGTAATAGAATACTCTGCATCCATGAGTATTTTCATATGATTACATCGAGGACTGTCATAATCATCCATGATTTAATTTTAATATATAAATTATTACTGTTAAAAATAGATAATATAACATAGGTGGTATGTTAGATGTCACAGGCACAATATGTTCTTTGCTATTTCCTTCAAGTGAGTAGTATATGTTTGCTTCATCTTGAGAGGGGAAAAAGAGTTTATGATATAAAAATGTCATTCTTTGCTTTTCAGGAATTAAAGGAGAATTGGGTGACATAGGACCCCAGGGCAATATTGGCAAGTCTGGGCCCATTGGCAAGAAGGGTAAGCTGTATTTTAGTATTTTTCCATTGCAAATGAAAGCAAACTGAGTGTGTCCTTAATACATTTTTAAAGTTTGTATGATTAAAATGCTTCATTTCTTTCTTTTAAAAGACAAGTTCTCTGTGTCTTCACAGTGGCTCTTATACAAGCAATATATCTCAGACTTCCAAAAGAGATACGCAATGGGCAAAATTAAACAAGATTTCAGGAATCAAAAATAAGGTGCTGGAAATCTCTATACTGAACTCTGTCCTGGGACCTATTGGTAGACATGAATCCTTGACATAATAAAAATACAATTATTCATAAAATGCAAAGTAGGTAGAAAAGTAAAAATTTTTTTTCATGATTTGAATGGAGTAATGAATAGTTCTGTGATCTATTAACCAGGTAAGAACTTGAAGAACATGTGTGCACATTTGCTTTCAGGCACATTCTGATTTCATTCATAATTACAACCTCAATATTAGAAAACAAAGATAGTCTTCTCTTTATGAACTAAGCTCTCCTCTCTTCTCTTCTCAAAAAGCTCCACAATGATAGCAGCTCTAATGTCTTCCAGTACTCACTAATTCATACCTACAGGTATTGTTTCATGTGTTCGGGAGATACAAAGCTGGATGAGAATGAAATTTTTATTGCAAATAGAATTTTCTCATTATAATACCAGTGAAGACTGTAGGAAGCTCAATGCCATGTATATTATAATGACTGTGACCTTTTCATAAACACCTGAGCCTTACAGAATTAAACAAACACTTGTAGGGCCAGCAGTGTGTTCTTGTGGATAGGTTGACGGGCTGGAGTCAGAGGTGAGGCGGTAGCCTCCCTTCTCATCCTGTGGTCTGACACGCCCTCTCTCCACCCTCTTTTCCAGTTCCTTCCTGTGTCAATTTGGGGGATATTTTTGCAAGGGGAATAATATAATACAGGACACATACTTTACAAGATTATTTATAACAGTCACCCAAAGAATGAGATACAAGAGAGTGCAGGAAGTGTCCACACACTAAGACTAAGAAATCCAGCTGAGGTCCTGGATCCCTTGCAAATGTTCTGCATGAGTCCAGCTGAAGACCTAGAGCTCGTAACAGCCCCTCCCATGAGTCCACCTGGAGGCCTAGAGCCCATTACAATATCTCATGCAGGCCTGTTTCACGGATCTGTGCTGGGAAGACCCAAAGGTCAGTGGTGGAATCTAGAAAGTCTGTGCCAGCTGGATGAAGGATCTGTGCTAGCAGGCGGAGGGACCTGCACTGGAGCCAGGAAGTGATGCTCAGAAAAGGAACCAGAGCTCCCCTGAAAGGTACCACAGCCATCCTCAGCAACAGTGAGGTCCCAAACTCCTCTGATGATCAAGATGGCTGAGTTCCCATTAGGGAAGCCAACACAGCAAGCTTCTTCAGGAGACCAGCAGTGCACCATCTCCCCCTCCAGCACCAGGAAGCGATGCTCAAAGTAGAGTCAGAGCTCCCCCAAAGCGAACCAAAGCCATTCTCAGTGCCAACGAGGTCCCGAGCTCCCCAGAGGATGGTAACAGCCAAGTTCATCAGGAAAGCCAGCATGATGAGCTCCTCCAAAACAACCAACAGCTCCTTACAGCTTCTACCAGCTCCCAACAGCCTCTCTCAGCTCCCAGCAGCCTCCTTCTCCAGTTCTGCCTCTTATGCTGCTGGCAACAATCCCCAGGTGGGCCTCCCACACCCAGAACCACGCTTACTCAGTTCAGCTGGGGGTTACAAGTTGACCACCAGTGCTCAGTCCACCACACTTCCTTTCCACCACACAGGAAGGCAAGGGTGGAGGGCAGTGCTAATGAAGAGAAACTGCAATGATATTGTTGGATCCAGTGGCTATTACTGCACATGCACTTCAAGTTGAAATCTTCACAGCTTCAGAAGAGCGACATGAGCTCCTCGTGGTTCACATGTCCTGCTGGCGCTGTGCTGTGGAGTTTTCTCCTCAGGCTCCTGAAGCTTCGGCTTCAGAGCCTCTCGTTTGCATGGGTCCTTCCCAAGACCCAGAGAGAAGACTTAGCAATGGGTTCTTATGGCCTAATGTCGTGGCAAAGTAAGACATTATCCCCCACTGGTTAAAGTAGTGCATCTCCACATTTTAGAAAAATGATCATTCCTCCAACTGCCCTTTTAGAAATATTTTTCCTAATTGGTGCCCAGTGAAATTTTAATACCATCCCTGGACTAACTGTTGACTTATATATTCTGTATTTATTTATAATTTATGTATTTTTAAAAGTGTGATTTTTTCATCACCCCCCCCCAAGAATCAGTGCCTGCAACCTTGAGGTGATATTGCCCACAGGGAAAGCACAGTTAAGACTATACTGCCTTCTGCTCCAACTTCTTTCCATCACTCTTTTTGCACTGGGTGATTTTGGAGTGGATACAAGTATTTGGGAAGCTAACTAAGATGAGCTGAAGTGAGGAAAATACTTATCTTGGACGTAATGAGATGTATTTGTGTAGTTTGAAGTTACTTCCACATACAGTTCAGTTCTTGCTAACAAGCCCAATGTAGGAGTCATGTCCAAAAGTATTCATACCACATACTGTGCAAATCCCCTCAAAGTCATGACATGAAAGTGCTGGGCCGGAGGTCAGATCATCATCGGAATGTGTCCTGGGTTGCCCAGCACAGAAATGTGTGGATTGTGGAAAAGAAATAATGTTTGAAGACTACAGGGCCCGAGCTGGTTCTGGAAAGCTTTTTCCAAATTTAATAATCTTTGTGTGAGTAAGAAAAAAGAAAACTTTACAGAGCATATTCTCAAATTTGACAATATTTTTAATTTATTGCATTAATGACAAATAGCAAAGGTTAAAGGCTATTCTGATCCTTAGTGATGAAAATAAAATTCAAACTTCTGGTGCAAGCTATGAGGGACTGACTGGCATTACGTTAATCTTTCTGTTATGTATATTCACTTGGAACAAAAATAATTAGATATATGTTCAAATCACAAGAAAGCTACCAAACATGAATAGAGGTTAGGAGCCATGGAGCAGAAGGGACCCACCCTGCAGTAAGCTTGCGTTCTGCATTCTTTCATCTCCTCAGATGTTCACCAGTTCCTAAGTCAAGTCGGCAGGCTAAGAGGCGAGGGGGATGAGCAGAAAGTCACTCCAACTGAGTTGATATTTGAGGACCGACCCAGAAGAATGCACCAGGAAAAAGTCCCATATTTTTAGTTAGAACTCCAGATATTTTGAGAAATTAAAGATTTTTATTTGTTTTCTTTTGGAGACAGGGTCTCAATATGTAGCCCAGGATGGCCTTGAACTCACAGTGATCCTTCTGCCTCAGCCTCCTGAGGGCTGGGGTTACAGGAGTGCACCACAGCACCTGGCTTGTGTCACCAATTCTAATTAAAATCTTACTTGAGATGCTTTCCAGAACAAAAATTCAGGAAACAAATAACCTTCACAGATATTGGAAATAAAGAATGGGTGGGTCATTATTTAGAGATGATTTATTGTATACCTAGAAAATACAAAATAAGCTAGAAATAAACTATTTGCTTTAATGTATTGTTGAATACCTTAATTTACAAAAATCAGTTTTGCTGCTACATAAAAATAATTCAAAAACAAATTAAAGCAATGCCATATATCATAGTATCGAAATTATCAAACACCTAGGAATAAGTCTAGTGAAAATTGTATTAGCCCTTCACAGTGAACAAAACATGATGATAAGGAAATAAAGTATGGAGCTGGGGATTTAGCTCAGCAGCACAGCAACTGCCTGGCAAGCACAAGGTCATGAGTTCGATTCCTGGCACTGGAAAAAAACAAAAAACAAAAAAAATGAAATAAAGTATATCTCAGGTAACAGAGGTAAAAATAATTCTAGAATTGATCTATAGTTTCAATACCTTTTGCATCAAAATTTCAAAGTATTCTTTTGGAAACCAATTAGCCAACTCAAAAATTATGTCTAAATTAAAAGGACTAAGAATACACAATACATTTGTTAAAAATAAAAGTGAAGCTGGAAGATATAAATTATGGAATTTAAATATTTATTACAAAACCAGCTAATGAGGTAGACAAATCAATGGAAATAAAAACAGTGTAGAAACAGACAACTGTACTAAGTTTGATTTATGTAGGGATGATGCTACTGTATTTTATAATAGGAAATCATGAGTGTATCAGTACATTGTGTTGGGTTAATTGGGTATTAATGATAATAGTAATAATCTTATCCTGATACTTAGCACTGTCTAAAATCAGTGGTTTGTAAGTCTAAGTTTTGGGTAAAATCAAATCTGATGGTCCTAAATTTGAAATGTAAAGAGTGCATATAGTAATTAATGTGAAATTCTGTGTTTTTTCTTATCAAAAAATAGGCACAATTTTTAAACCAGATATGAAAAAGACTAACCATAAAGAAGGCCTATCAAAAGACCTTCCATTCATCAAAAACTCCTATTAGAGCACAAACAAGGAAATCCCAGAACTGGTTATGTGCTACCTGTATATCCAGTGCAGAATCTATATCCAAAATATACAAGGACATCATACAAATCTATAGTAGAACACAGATAATCCTCCCAAAATGTCACTTTTCATTGTGTTTTATTTCCATCAGTTAAATTTAATATGTTTTGATTAAGTGTCCTAGAGAAAAGGCTGTTTTCTGCTTATTATTATTCCTTCCTCCTTTCTTTAAAGTGTTATAAAGCTGTGGGCAACTAAACAAGTAATGAATGTAGCCAAAAACAAGAGGCCAATGATTATTTTAAACAAGCAGTAAAGAGGCACAACAATTGGCTCATTCATTAAAATATTACCATTATTGGATTTTGCATTGTGATATTTGTCTACTTTTAAAATTTTAGCAACTTTCTTAAGATGCACTGCTTTCACAACTACTTCTCCACTTGTTAATTTTGTATTATTTTTCTTAAAGAAGGCCCTGCAAATTGTCTAAACTTCAGATAAAATGCAACATGGACCTGCCACTGACTATGCCAA